TACCACTGTAAAATTTTTGAAAGGAGCATTTGTGTCCCACATTCGTTGATTTGAGACAAGATAAATTACGTGCAAAAATGTCTGAAAAGTTGAAGATTAAGGACACTGTAACGATAGCGTCCAATAGAAATGATTGATGTAACACTCGACTATACACTCCTCGTTAATAACACCTATCTTTAATTTCTCAGTAACGCGCGTGTAGTTTTTTCCCAGTGATGAGTAATATCCAAACGGATATACGGTCCGTTGTAAGTAAATCCTAACATTGTAGGGCTCACAACAAAAAACTGTTTCATTCCGAGAACGAAATAACATCACACGTATAGTAACGAAGTAATAATGAACAGTGACTCTGATTAATATTCGAACATCTTTTAAAACGGAATAACTTTTTTGGAACTGAATTGAACGACTTGAATTTTTTTTTTAATGATCGGGTGGCCAGTCTACTAGACCATAACTAAAATGCTTCTTTTTTAATTTTGCTAATGCTAAAAAAAGCTCTCATTTTTTAACTTTTTTTATCTAAGCCTATAAAGAAAATTTGAAAAATGACTTTCGTAGATCTCGGTAAAATAAAAAAGAAATGCATAGAATCGTGGGGCAAGTATGTATTGTCAACTTTTAGCACTATCGATAACCATAAAAATTCTAAAACTTATGTTAAATCATTAGAAACTACGCAAAAAAAAAAAACAAATAAAAATGCAGAAATGCATTCACTGAAACTTTCTGTTATAATACATTGAATTCGTTTTTTTTACTATTGAAACAAAAATAAATAAACATAAATAAATGTGTTAGAAAGTCGTGTAACCAATTTGAAAATACCATTCATAAAATGTGGTGTAAAAAAGAAAGATCCAGATCTATTGAAAAAATTCAGACAAACTTTTTTAGGAGATTTAAAAGGTAAAGGGAGAAGGTAGATTTTTTTATCCAGAGTTTGAATACCTTGTACCAGTGTTACCATACTTTTTCCGCGTTAAACTAGTTGAAACTAGTAAACTAAGTTCTGAAATAGTTTAACATTAATGGGTATTGCAAAGAAAAAATACGCATACATAGGACTTTTTTTGACTTCATTTTATCTAATGAATGTACATCATAAAGCAGCTCAGGAAAATAATATTCACATTAGTGCAATCCTTGAGCTTGATGTGTACTATAAAGAGTCTTTATTTGAGTAGTCAATTTGTAGTCAATTTCAATTTCAAATTTGCACGCTTTGTGATATGCGGATGATATGCGGACTAAATATGCCGAAGACAAGGGTAACAATAAATTTCTTGCAAAACTAGTTCAAACTGGGTATCTCGATTCGGCATTGTCACAAGGCCATGCCATTGTTCCTTTCATGTTCAACAGTGTATTAATAGATTCATCATTTTCATAGTAGGTACGCATGCAATAGTTTACATTGACTTATCATTAATGCCAGTTACCATTTATACATACAATTAATCAAAAATATATACTTATCAAATGTAAGCCTTTTCGAACAGTTGCATTCGTCCATTTAATACATGAAATTGTACTTGCGTACAACAACTATTTATTGAGAAAAATGTATTGAATGTGTGAGTGTTTTTTTAGATACGTGCTCCCATTTTGAACAATCTGACAAAATTGTAATGTCGCTAACTATAACAAAAGACAAAAACTGTGAAAATATAAGAGTGGTCACTTTACGGTGTCAATATGTAATCGGTGATTTAAATATTTTCTGATTTTTCAAAAATCAGTTTCGCAATCGAAACATCTGAACAAATTCTCAAATATGAGGATAGAAACTAAATATAATAGAAACTAGATAGAATCCATTCATTCATATGTCTCTCCATCAGGATCTTCATGGATAAGATTTTGAAAATCGCCTGAATTTTTGTCGATGGGGCTCACAGCAGTATGAACGCGACGAATCGTTTTTTGAGAGTATGTTGTTTACCGACGGAGCATCTTTCACCAATCATGATCAACTAAACTTGAGGAACATGCACTATTGGTCATTGGAAAAAATTTTCGTTTCCATTTAATTTTTGATCTCGAAGGTCATTTCAAGGTCATGTAATGTACATAACTAAACATATTTTTACGTCAGCTACGCGATTCAATAAAAATAATTATACAATTATACGCAAAAAAATATCGATGGCCTCGTAAACTCTGAAAAAAAGTTACTTTGAAAACAAATTTTTGTTGCAATGCGGTGGTTTTTTTAAATCGTTCAAATAGCATACAAAATATTTTTTGTACTCCCATAATTAGAGGAGAAATTTAGGTAGCCTTATTTGGATGGACAGGTATAGATCAAGTCAATCAAAAATG